CTCCCCAAAGCTTCCTTCCCGGACTCATCCTCAAACCCCCTGGTTTTCCATCCTGCTCTTTGGCATCCATTTTCTTTTTTTTTTTTTGGTTGCCACAGAATGAAAAATTTAAACGAATTTCGTGTGGTTGTAATGTGTGTGTGTAGGGGGGAGGGGGGAAAGAAGGGGGAGCAGAGAGACAGAAAGAAGCTGAAGTTAGTGGTAAAATGGGAAGTGGGGAGGGGAGAATATGTATGTACATATGTATATATGTATGTATATATGTATGTATGTATGTATGTATGTATGTATGTGTGTGTGTGTGTGTGTGTGTGTACTCACCTATTTGTACTCACCTATTTGTGGTTGCAGGGGTCGAGTCCTAGCTCCTGGCCCCGCCTTTCACCGGTTGCTACTAGGCCCTCTCTCTCCCCGCTCCATGAGCTTTATCAAACCTCGTCTTAAAAACTGTGTATGGTTCCTGCCTCCAATATGTCATTTTCTAGGCTTTTCCCACTGCCTTACAACTTTATGACTGAAGAAATACTTCCTACATATCTCTGATCATTTGTGTCTTCAACTTCCAATTGTGGCCTTTTGGGTTTCGGGTGTCCCCCCCTGGAACATCCTGTCTTTGTCCACCTTGTCTATTCCACGCAGTATTTTATATGTCGTTATCATTGTCTCCCGGGACCCCCCTGTCCTCCAGTGTCGTCGGGGCCGATTTCCTTTAATCTTTCTTCATAGGACATTCCCCTTAGCTCTGGAACTAACCTTGTCGCAAACCTTTGTACTTTCTCTAGTTTCTTGACGTGCTTTATCAAGTGCGGGTTCCAAACAGGTGCTGATACCCCAGTATGGGCCTGACATACACGGTGTACAGTGTTTGAATGATTCCTTACTAAGGGTTATCGGAATGCTGTTCTCAGGTTTCCCAGGCGCCAATATGCTGCAGCATTTATCTGATTGATGTGTGCTTCCGGAGACATGCTCGGTGTTTAGTCACCCCAAGATCTTTCTCCTTGAGTGAGGTTTGCAGTCTTTGGCCACCTGCCTATACTCTGTCTGTGGTCTTCTGTGCCTTCCCCTTCTTCATGACTTTGCATTTGGCAGGATTAAATTCGAGAAGCCATTTGCTGGACCAGGTGTCCAGTCTGTCCCGGTCTCTTTGAAGTCCTGCCTGGTCCTCATCAGATTTAATTCTCCTCATTAACTTCACATCATCTGCAAACAGGGACACTTCTGAGTCTAACCCTTCCGTCATGTCGTTCACATTTTACCAAAAATAGCACTGGTCTAGGACCGACCCCCGTGGGACCCTGCTCGTCACAGGTTTCCCCCTGTGATACTCATTATGTACCATGACTTCTTGTTGCCTCCCTGTCAGGTATTCTCTGATCCATTGCAGTGCCCTTCCTGTTATATGGCCTGATGCTCTAGCTTCTTTCACTAATCTTTGTGAGGAACTGTGTCAAAGGCCTTCTTGCAGTCCCAAAAAGATGCAATCAACCCACCCCCCTCTCTCTTGTCTTTATTCTGTTATTTTATCATAAAACTCCAGAAGGTTTGTGACACAGGATTTGCCTTCCGTGAATCCGTGCTGGTTGGCATTTATACTCCTGTTCCGTTCCAAGGTGCTCCACCACTCTCCTCCTGATAATCTTCTCCATAATTTTGCATACTATACACGTCAATGACACAGGTCTATAGTGTGTGTGTGTGTGTGTGTGTGTGTGTGTGTGTACTCACCTAATTGTGGTTGCAAAGGTCGATACTCAGCTCCTGGCCCTGACTCTTCACTGACTGCTACTGGGTCCTCCCTCTCCCTGCTCCATGAGCTTTATCATACCTTGTCTTGAAATTATGTATGGTTCCTGCCTCCACTACATCACTTGCCAGACTCTTCCACTTCCTAACAACTCTGTGGCTGAAGAAATACTTCCTAACATCCTTTGACTCATCCAAGTCTTCAACTTCCAATTGTGACCCCTTGTTTCTGCGTCCCCTCTCTGGAATATCCTGTCTCTGTCCACCTTATCTATTCCACCCAGTTCTTGTATGTCATTATCATGTCACCCTGACCCTCTGTCCCCCAGTGTCATCAGAAACCCAAATTTTCCCCTTTAAATTTTCTTCGTAGGACATTCCCCTTAGCTCTGGAACCAGCCTTGTTGTGGTTCCTGACGTGCTTCACCAAGTGTGGGTTCCAAAACTGGGCCATGTACTCCAGTTGGGCCTGATGTACAGTGTACAGAGTCTCGAACGATTCCTTACTGAGGTATCGGAAACACTGTTCTCAGGTTTTTCCGACGCCATATGCCACAGCAGTTATATGGTTGATGTGTGCTTCCAGCGATGTGCTCGGTATTATACTGCCTTTGATCTTTCTGCTCGAGTTTAGGTTTGCATTTTTTAGCCTCCTAGCCTATATTCTGTTGCAGTCTTCTTTGCCCTTCCCCGATCTTCATGACTTTGCATTTGGCGAGGTTAAATTCTAGGAGCAGTTGCTGGACCATGCATCAGCCTGTCCAGGTCTCTATGTAGACCTGTGTGATCCGCATCCAATTTAATTCTCCTCATTAACTTCACATCATTTGCAAACAGGGACACTTCTGAGTCTATCCCTTCTGTCATGTCATTCACATATACCAAGAACAGCACTGGTCCCAGGATTGACCTCTGTGGGACCCCGCTCATCACAGGCGCCCACTGTGATACCTCATTACGTACCATGACTCGCTGTTGTCTCCCTGTCAGGTATTCTCTGATCCACTGCAGTGCCCTTCCTGTTATACGTGCCTGACCCTCTAGCTTTTGCACTAATCTCTTGTGAGGAACTGTGTCGAAGACCTTCTTGCAGTCCAAGAAATTGCAATCGACCCACCCCTCCCTCTCATGTCTTACTTCAGTTACCTTGTCATAAAACTCCAGTAGGTTTGTGACACAGGATTTGCCTTCCATGAATCCGTGCTGGCTGTTGTTTATAACCTTGTTTCGTTCCAGGTGCTTCACCACTCTCTCCTGATAATCTTCTCCATGACTTTACATACTATACACAACAGTGACTCTGGTCTATAGTTTAGTGCTTCATTTCTGTCTCCTTTCTTAAAGATAAGGACTACATTTGCTGTCTTCCATACCTCAAGTAGCTGACCAGTTTCAAGGCACACACAGTGTCTCTGCTCCCTCTCTAAGGACCCACAGAGAGATGTTGTCCAGTCCCACCGCCTTTGAGGTATCAAGGTCACTTAGGAGCTTCACCTGTGTGTGTGTGTTTACTTACCTAGTTGTGGTTGCAGGGTTAAGTCACAGCTCCTGGTCCCACCTCTTCACTGGTCGCTACTAGGTCACTCTTCCTGCTCCATGAGCTTTATCATACCTCTTCCTAAAGCTAGGTATGGATCCTGCCTCCACTATGTCACTTCCCAGACTGTTCCACCTTCTGACAACTCTATGACTGAATGCCTCCTAACATCCCTGTGATTCATCTCAGTCTTCAACTTCCAATTGTGACCCCTTGTTGCTGTGTCCCATCTCTGGAACACCCTGTCTCTGTCCACCATGTCGATTCCTCTCAGTGTTTTATATGTCATTATCATATCCCCCCACTCTTTCCTGTTCTCCAGTGTAAACAGGTTTTTTTTCCCCTTAAACCCCTCCTTTTTGGACAATTTCCCCTTTGCTCCGGGGGCTGCTTTTTGCAAACCTTGCTTTTTTCTAAATTTGTATGTGCTTTTGGGTTTGGTGTGGGTTCCAAAATGGGGGCCCGATTCTCCAATAAGGGCCCGAAAATAAAAAGTGTTACAGGGGTTTCCCGAACGACTCCTTACCGAGGGTGTCAGGGAATTTCTATTTTTTAAGTTTGTAGGGCCCATTTGCCCGCAGCAGTTTTTTTTGGTTAAAGTGCAATTCAGAAGACGTGCCCAATGTCCTTCCCCAGATCCTCTTCCCCGAGTAGAGGGTTTTTTTTTCCTTTGGGCCCCCCCCCCCGACTGTATCTGTCTGCGGTCTTGTTTGGCCCCCTTTCCCCCATTTCATGACTTTGCCCTTGGTGGGGTTTGTGGAGAAAAATTTTTCCGGAGGGGGATATCAGACCCCTTAGCCCCTTTTAGCCCTGAGGGGGCCCAAGGGCCCCCTTTAAGGAAGGGGCGAGCGTCTTGTTTTTCTTTCTAGAGTGAGTAAATTTTTCACAGATGCTATGCCCCGTAGTAAGTGAACCCCGGGTCCTTGCAGCGGTTTTTTTGCAATGTGTATTTTTTTAAGAGGACGTACTTTTCTTCCTTTGAGGGCAATTAAGGAAAATTTTGTCCCCCCTTTTTTACCATTGTAAAAAAATTTTTGTTTTTAAAGTTAAGACACAAGGAAAAAAAACATTTTCTTTTCTTTACGAGGAGGTGACAAGGTGGAAGGGGACTTGGTCAGCGTTTTTTTTTTGGGTAGGGCAAATGCGGGTTGGGGCGGGGGAAACAAAAAGGGGGCAAAATTAAAATTTTACTCACTACGAGTTAAAAAATGAGCCAG